GTGCCCGGGGATGCTGCTGCGGCGTCATCACTGCACGCAGTTCAGCACCCCAGGACCCCCCTGTGGACCCCCAAAGCTGGGGCACTGTGAGCAAAGCCAGCTCCTGACAAAAGAGGAATCGCTCTCTCCTACTAACAAAAAGCCAATTTATTTATTTTTAATTTCTGCCCCCGGCTGCCGGGTGCTGCTGCGGGAGAGATGTGAGCCCCTCTGCCATCCCCGCTGCCAGCCAGGGTTGTGCCATGAAATCTTTTCCTCCCGTTCCTCCTCCTCCTCAGCAAGTGATGAAGAACACTTCCAGGGGTGGGCAGTGGCCCAGGGCACGCTCGGCGCTGCTGGGTTTCTGCACTTCCACAGCCTGGGTTTCTCTGTGAGATGGCTCTTCCCTCCCGAGCTCCGTTCCTGTCCCTCGCTACTCCTGCGAGGTCCAAGATACTGTTTCAAATCCCATGAAAGGTCTTTTGTTGTTGAGCAATTCCACCCCCCCACCCCATATTAGAGGCTCTGTTTCTGCCTCCGGTTGTGATTAGTGTGGGAATTTTTAGCTCCCTTTTTAAGACTGTATTTCTGTAACACCAGCTCTGCTGTAAGGACATGCAACATCGCTCCTCACGCAGGAGGTGTCCAGCCTGGTTTCTCTGGAGCCTCGGTGCCCTTGGCTGCTCTGAGAACGTCACTTGCCCTGCATGGTGACACGATGGGCTGGAACAGTGCCCGTCCCGCTGGCTCTTGCCCCTTATTCAGCTGTGGTTTGGGCAAAAAGCAGCTTCAAACTCACATTTATTCTTCAGCACCGTTCCTGCAGCAAGAGGAGCTTATCTTGTGCCGCGGGGTGGACTTTGAACAAGTCAAAGTGTAGCATCACTCACCAACATCAGATATTCCCGTCCCGCGGTGCACCTTCACCCCAGGAGCCTTTCCAGGACAGGGTCCAGGCTCTGGCGGTTGCTTCCCATCCCTGACAAGGAGAACTCAGATCAGTGCTTTAATTAGCCACATATTAATGAAGCAAGCTCATTAAATCTGCCTTGTGCAGTGGCTCATTGACTTCTTGCAGCCAGCCCTGTCTGGTTGTCCCTGGGCCTGGTCCCCGCAGCCGGAGCCCGCTCCCCGCCAACGGGCTCAGCCAGGGATGGGCGACCCTGCTGGGGCACATCCAGGTGGCTTCTTGGGGAGTGAATCACAGAATGTTGGGGGTTGGAAGGGACCTCTGTGGGTCACCCAGCCCAACCCCCTGCCGAAGCAGGGTCACCCAGAGCAGGCTGCACAGCACCGTGTCCAGGCGGGGCTGGAATATCTCCAGAGAAGGAGACTCCACAGCCTCCCTGGGCAGCCTGGGCCAGGGCTCCGTCACCCTCAGAG